GCAGGAAGGATTTCCTGCTACAGAAGTGGCACTGGGAGCTTAATAAGTTCACTCTAAAAGAGACGTCTTCAAATCAAAGACTGTATTTTTTACTTCCTTTAAAACTTTAGTATAACATAGGCGTGAACAAATCTGACTTCCTGCAGAGCTTTCTTTTAGCTTTGATCATCTGCGTAATTTTATTTTTAGGCGGCAAATTTTCTTTTAAGAAACAACAACAAAATGGAGAGAAGTCAATCAGTAACTGGTTGTGAACGTATTGTTTCACATATTTAACTCATTCCATATTTTAACACCCATGTTAAAATATAAGTCGTGCCAGTTGTTTAGAACATTCTGATAAATCAAGTCAGAATCGATAACATATCTTGTTAAATGTTATAAAGAAAATCATTTTGTTAGGTCGAATTAATGGATGTGGTAGGCTCCACCTCAGAAAAGGGTGCAGAGGGAGCAAGAAACAGAGCAATAGCACCACCTAGTGGCAGAAGTTAAAATACGAAACTTTCTTTTTTGTCATGTTCTTCTTTTTCTTTTTATCTGAAATAGATAACAAACAAAAGAATGTCATAATAGCTCAATTTGTATCTTTTGTTTTTGAAAAGAAGAACAACACAGACTAAAGCGATAAAAGATGATGATGATCTGGTATGTGTAACTTTCCTGTTGTACTATTAACGTAATTTTGTTTTTGGTTATAATTGTGTTTGCTTTTGCAACATAGCTCTAGAGATATATGTGATTTTCTGTCATTGCTGACTGCTTGACTAAGCGGTGGTTTCTGGGACTTTCCGTGGGGATTACAGTAGCTTCTCATGAAGACCCGGTGAGAGAAAGCGCAACTAAACCAAACAGGAAACCGCGCCCCGTCGTGTTGCAAGCGCGCCTACAAATTTTAGCCTCGACACATTTCAGGCTCTGGACTCACTGCGTGATGGCGACGAAGTTTTCATTGTGGTTTAGTTCCTGTGTTTGGCTCGCTGTGTCACTGTAAGTAATCAGATGTAGACTAGATAGTCCTCTATTATCTGTCTCTACTAGCTTTACTAACTGCTCGGCTCGGTGTGCGGTGGTTACCACAGGGGTGGTTGGGAACGAAGGGTGATACAACTTACCGTAACACCTGAGTTCAGAAGTGTGCGGTAAATGTAATCTTTAATAAAGCAATTAATTCGTCTGTTTGGCGTCTTAACACCACCTATAAACTGCTATTTAACCTAAACGAACGTAATATTCTAAAAGGAAACCAAGCTGCTGCACTTTCAGTTTCGTTTTGCTTCTGTTGTTTTTTTTTATAGATGCGTTTGCTTTGCCTCGTCCCAGCGCCACAGGTCAGTTAATGGGGCATCCCGCATCAGAAGAGAGCCGGCATGTTTGGATGGTACCTACAACTTTACAACATGGAGCTGTTGTAACTGCCCTGTTGGTAAGTGTCAGTGGTTATGTGAACTTAAAGAGCTCAAGCAATGTAGTTTGTAATTTTTAGTCTTTGTAATCTGTAGTGTTTTTGTTCTTCATTTAATCAAAACCAGGGATGTCCAAACTTTTTT